CCAAATCGTTGATGAAGATGTTGAAGAGTACTGGGCCCAGAACAGAGCCCTGGGGCACCCCACTACACACTTCCCTCCATATAGATGCAGTTCCATTGAGGACCACTCGCTGAGTACGGCCGGGAATCCCCCAAATAGGTATTTTGTAATTTAGCCTTTCTATTCTTGCATGACTGATGTGCAATACCTTATTCACACTTCTCCCTGTCAAAATCTAGTTCTTCATCTCGGACCACAATCCCCTGCTTATTTGAGTTATCTTCACAAATACCTTTACCTGTCACCTTAATGTCCCTATTCTTTCTCTTGAAGGGTGGGATTTATTATATGGTTGGCATGCATATTTAATTTTTAATAAGAAAGTAGATCGGGCTTTTAAATCACATATTTTAAGAAATGCCTTACTTCGAGTCTGGAAGAAGTATTATTACAGGTTAAATTACAAAATACCTATTTGGGGGATTCCTGGACATGCAATTGAGGGGATTTCTAAGGGGATGAATTTTGAAAAAAATTCATGTAAAGAATTACTTATCTGGCCAGGTACTGACTGGCAATTAAAATCTTTAGATGTATTAAGGCAAGAAAATATTTTACAGTCATGGTTCCAGTACTTACAAATAGTGGATAGGTGGACTTTAGATAAGAAAGTTGGAATAACATTAGGAGATGAAAATTTGGTAATTCAGATTAAAGATCAGAATCAGGCCCACATAAAAAGAATTTATAATGCGTTAATAGAACTGGATTCGGAAACGGATTTGGTTAAAGATTGTATGTTAAATGGGCTCAGAATATCCAGGAACCGATTTCATTGGATTTATGGCAGACAATTTGGACTAGAAATGTTAAATTTACACAAGCTCAAAATTTGAGAGAAAATTTTTATAAAATGTTTTACAGATGGCATTTAGATCCTAAAAAATTATCTTGTATGTATCCTAATATACAGCCCAAATGTTGGAGATGTGGCAATAAAGATGCGACATATTTTCATATTTGGTGGAATTGTAAAAAGGTAAAGGCATTTTGGATTATGATTTGTTGGAACATTCAAAAGATTTTTAGAAGGAAGATAAAGTTTACTCCTCAACTATTTTTATTGGGTATCTTTGTGGATTTAAATGATAAAGAAACTATTTTGATGGTGAATTTATTAACTGCCGCAAGGTTATTAATAGGTTTATATTGGAAGAAAGATTCTTTGCCTACTTTAGAAGAATGGGTATTTAAAGTATCTAGTTTTGCAGAGATGTCAAAAATTTCTGCCTATTTAAAGGATCATACACAAGAAAGATATATTACTGTATGGAGAAGATGGATAGATTATATTCAGAAAAAGTATGGAACTAAAAAGTTTCACTTATTTTATGAATGAATATTATAGTAAATATCACAGAGAATTGTCTTATAGGCTATTGGAGTTAAAGGTTAAGTATGATAATTTTTTTTCCTTTTTTATTATTATTTTTTTCTTTTTTTTCTTTTTTCTTTTTCTTTTCTTTTTTCTTATTATTATAAATTCTTTTAATTATTAACCCTGTATTCTGCTCTGGGAAGTGAAGGGAGGGGGGTTGGGGGTGGGAGGGAGGAAATGTGGGGGGGTAAGTGTAATATAGATAATGGTTGCTTATAGGGGTGCGGCCTGGGCGCTCCCCTTATGCTGCGTTCATGGGTTTGATAGGGATGAGAGGTGGGCAAGTGTAGAGAGGAAGTAGGGTAGTGAGAGGAGAGGGGGAGGGGAAGAGAATAGGATGGGAGGTGAGAAAGAGGAGGGAAGTAGGGAATGTTTTAGGAGAGGGTGGACGCGGCCTGGGGGGAGTGCGCAGGTCGTAATAATGTTTATTTTATTTTAAAATTGTATTGTATACATTTTTTATAATGTTTATATGGAAAAAATAAAAAACTTTCATTAAAAAAAATGGGTGTGACAGCATGTCTTTCATGAGGGGCAGAGGGTATAGGTTGCTTTCACTGATTGTATTCAGGGCCCTATAATCCACGCATAAACGTAAAGAGCCATCCTTCTTCTCTCTAAAAAGGACCGGGGCAGCCACTTTAAACTTGGCTAGCTCAATGAAACCTTTCTCTAGGTTTTTTAAATGAATCTTTCCATTTCCTCCTTCTTCTTTGGGCTCATGGAGTATAATCTGGGCTTCGGGAATTTTGCCCCAGGCTTGAATTCCATGGCACAGTCTGTGGGTCGGTGGGGGGTGGGGGGGAGCTCATTCGCCCTCTCCTCACTGAAAACTTCAGCAAGGTCTCCGTATTCCTCTGGTATTTCTGTTAGTCTTTTTTCCTCTCCTATGGATGCTTTTTCTATTCTTGATTCCGGTAGCCTCTCTTGGGATTTTAAGTCCATAAGGTCCCCCTTCGGGAATTTGATTTCTGTCGTCCTCCAATTTACCCAGGGGTTCCATTTTTTTTAACCATTCCATCCCTAGGATCATTGGGCATTCCATGCCTAGGGTCACCACAAACGTTATGTCCTCCTCATGTTTGCCCAGGGAGAGGTGTATTGGTAGAGTGGCGAGGGTAGCTGGCACCCCCCCTGCTATGGATCCATCTAACTGGCCAAATGAGATTGGTTGTTCCAGTCTCCTCGATGGGATACCCAGATTCCCCACTAGTGTTGGGCGAATGAGGCAGCGGGTGCAGCCAGAGTCTATTAAGGCTTTCACCTTCACAGCTTCGGGCATGGGGGGGAATTAATATAGTCACTGTCTTGAGGATGGGCGTGATGTGTCCACTTACCAGGGGTTCACCCTCTGAGCTGTCATCTGAGGCATCCACCGGCCCTATGGTGTAGGCTGGAGTTCTTTTCCCTTGGTGAGCAGAAGTGGGGGGTTCCACAATTTCCATCATTCTCATGGCAGTTTCTTTTGGCTTAGCTGAAGACTTTCCGGATTTGTTGATTGGGGATCTATCTGGGTTGTGCTGGGAGGCTTTGGAGCGGCATTCTACAGCTCGATGCCCTTTCTTTGCACTTGAAACACCCCGTTTGCTTCTTGGCTGTAGCCGGTGGTTTCACTGGTTCATGTGTCAACTCAGGCGGGGAGCGGCTCCATTGTTTTCCTCGGCGGTGTCTTTTCAATATGTCGATCTCTGCTTCCTCTGCCAAGATGTACCATTCCTCAAGTTGGTGCGGGTCCTCTCGGGGCAGGCAAGCGTCATATAGATCATAATTTAGTCCGTCTTTGAAATGGCTAAGGAGGGTGTCTTCTGGCCAGTTCAGTTTGCTGGCAATGGCCCAGAATTCTTGTGTATATTCAGCCACCGGGCGTTTGCCTTGCCTCATCGTTTTTATCCTTTCACGGGCTTTGTGATCAGCCAGGCGGTCTTCAAACCATCTTCTCAGAGAGGACATGAAACGTTTGAAGTTGCTGAGTTCTGGGGCATTGGAATCATGCAAGTTCACCACCCAATTTGCAGCCGGTCCATCCAGGGCAGATTGCACGATCCGGATGCGGGCTTTGTCGCTGGGGATGTCCCGCCCGTATTCCTCCATGTAGCTGAGTTAGGAAAAAACCCCAAGCGTGTTGGCTCCCCTTTGAATTTCACCTCCAACGGCGGACATCTTGGAATGGATCGGTACCTCCGTTGTTGGTGGTAGTGTCTTCCATCCAGATCGCCATCTGTGGTCCGATAGGGGGTGGGGACTACTGGATCAGCAGATGTCCCCGGGGTTGCAGGTTCCATGTCTCCCTCGGTGTTTCTCCTTTTGCGGCTCCAGGATCTGGGGCGGCCGTAGGGCTCAGGATTCTCCTCTCCTAGGGAGCTGAGAGTTCTCTTCATCAGGTCAATAGCTTTCTTTAGGATCCAATCTGAGTACGGTGCTCAGCTTTCTCACTCTTCACCTGCGTGCAGGGATTTCTCCATCTCCTGCTTCCATTCTGGTTGCTTGGTCCCCTTGCTCAGGGTCACCTTTCTTGATTCTCTTCTCCATTCACTTTTTTTTCCAACGTCCATTGACCAGCGAGGCTTGCAGTCCCGTGTCTCCACCACTTCTTCTCCTGAGGAATCTGACCTCTCGGATCACAACATCTGGCAAGGTTCCAATTGAGTCAGCGGCTCTCTTTCCAGGGAGTTTTCCCCCTTTCTCCATTGTCTGACATGGTAATTTTTTGCAAAATCCCCAGGCAAGGGTCTCCCTTCCAGGTGGATTAATTTTGCAAGTTCTGTCTAATGTAAGGACCCACCCCACTTTGCATCTTAAGAAGACAGAACTCTTGGAATAATTCTTCCAACAGGAATCCTTTATTAAGAGAAAATGGTTGCAGGCATTCTAGACAGGACTTGGGGTCTAAGCTCTCCCATTAAGGTTTTAAGGGGTTCCCCAGTAGTCCCACCAATCACCCCCCTCTTCCAGTGACAGTTTCAGGCATCACAATCCCACTCCCTTTTCCTTTCTGCCGGCTGGATGGAGACTTCAGAGAAAACTACATGAAAGGTAAATGGCCTCCTTTGTTATGAGAAGGCCTTTTGGTGCTATTCACATTCAATCCCTTTGAAGTTGTACAGAAGGAAGTGAGGGCCATAAAGCCCCTTTGTTCACCCCCTTCCCTTTCTTGTATGACAGAATCCAGAGAGGGCAGAAATGGGGTTTTCTATAATTCATAACTGGAGATGAAGTATAATTGGACTCTGACACAAACATTCATGTAAGGTAAGATGATCCAGCTTAAGACAGACTCCTAAAGAAATGATGCCAATTTTCAAAGCTATGACAGAGATCTAGCCTAGAAGGCATCTTGTAGAATCATACAAAGTTACAGCTTTTTGTAATTCAAGTGCCTTCTAGGTGTCTAGATTTCCAGACTTCCCAATACTGGTGATTCTGGTGGGGGAAATTCAAGGAGTAAAATTCTTCTACAAGGATCCTGGATTGGGGAACATGGAAGTGAAACATTGGGGGCTATATGTGAATGGACAAAATTGTTTGCTCCACTTCCCATTCATAGATACACTATTAATGTTTCATGTTTGATTTTTCTCAACAGCTTGACTGTGGGGGACCCCTCATCTGTAATGGACAATTCCAGGGCTTTGTATTTTGGAGACCCGATCCTTATGCCCAACCGTGTAAGCCTGGCCTCTACACCAAGGTTTTTGATCATCTTGACTGGATCCAGAGCATTATTGCAGGAAATAAAACTGTGAATTGCCCCCCATGAAAACTTTTGAAAAAGTTACGAGGAGAAAATGTAACATATTAGTACATCTCTTCTATATCCCTAACCATATCCAACTGTATTGGAATATATTCCCAGGCAGTAAGCTTTTTTTAGACTCAAATAGGACTTCCTTTGGAGTTAGAAATGCTCAAAATAGTGCTGCAGGGATCATGTCCCATTTAATTTCAGTATAAAACAATCTCAGTAAAATGGAGGCTGTTTTAGGGTGAGGTGCAAAATTTTCTGACTCTAAAATGGACCATTCCAAATATTTCAACCTCTGAATATCTTTCATTTCTGTCCACCTCTGGGACAGTGGGGTCCTTGATGCTCTCTGAGCTTCTCTTGTTGGAGACGTTTCATTACCCAGTTTGGTAATATCATCAGTGCTAGAGTATTCTCTTCTATTGGTACTTCTGTGGCATTTACAATATGCTCATATGGAGTCATGCAGTCACCCACAAACATATCCATATACTCTGGTCCCACTGTTGCCTAGAAAGGATCTCTGATTAACCCCCACTTCCCAATCACTAAATAGAATATTTTGAGAATCATGTTTCCATGTAAATTTTTCAGGTATCCACAGCAATAAAATCGTATAAATCATCACTTGTTTTCTGATCCTTTGGTTTTGAAAAGGACTGGCTTGTTACATGTCAGCATTTGACCAACTGGGCTTAAAAGCTGAAAAAGGTCTGACCTGGACTTCCGGTTTTGCGTACTTGAAACTGAGTGAGGAATTTGATCTTCTCTTTTCTATTCTATATTTAATTTTCTGGAAAAGATCCCCAAGAAGCAAAATATCTCCGAAAGGCAAGGAGGGGGATTTCCACCCCACCCTTATACTAACGGAAGTGACGAATTAATCTTTTTATTGAGGATCAAAATATATGGAAGTGAAACAAATATAAAACCTGAAATTTAAAACTCAAATCTGAATAAATCTAAAATTGTTGAATGGTTAAGACTCTCATTCTAAAGAGAATAGTTCATTTTGAAAATTGAAAAACAAATAGATGCTAACACCAATTGAGAGAAGTATAAATTTCAGGGGAAAAATATTTTTTGAATGGTTTGGAATACAAATATCTATTTAATTGGAACTCTAAAGCTATTTGCAGAGAAAAGAAAAGAAGAAAAAAACTTAAATTCTTGGCCATCATGGAGCAGAGACATGTAGAAAGAATTTATCAAGAAAACATAAATACTCCACAGGAGGAGATATATTGTATACTGCGACTAAACATTTTCAACAATCTTGGAAAGGCAGAAGCCCCGTACAAAGATACTTTATCTGATTTACTTTTTATATCTAACATTTATGAACGTTTTCACTCAGCAAAATACATTGATTAAGAAAGATACTGGGCAAAGGAAAAAGACCAAAGTGGAAATCAAGAAAATAGATGATGGGACCTACCAGAGAGAATACTTAAAAAAGAAACATTTGTTTGAATATGGTTAAAGAAATAGAAAAGATTTTGAATATATATGTCACTTTAAGAGGGATGAATCCCCTAAATAATATAGTATACTTCCCCCCCTTTTTATTCTATTTCTTGATATGAGTAATATAAAAATGTTGAAATGGCTTAGATAAAGGAAATGTTTTAGATAATTAAATGTGATTGAATTTAAGAAAATTATAATGGATAAAAATGTTTTGAATAAGAGTTAAAGCACTAAATGACTAGATGTATTAAATGGATTATTTAAAGATTAGACATATTTTTAATTATGGTTAAAAAGAATAAGAAATCTTGGAAACAAATATATATTAGCTTAGGAGGGATATATATTTTAAGTACTATGTTATTTTTTTATGCTTCTTTACTCTTGCTCTCCTTTCTTTTTTTCACTGTTTTATCTATTCCTTAAGAAATGTAAAAGTGTGAGATGATTCATATGGAAAAAATAGAATTAAATTTTTAAATGTAATTAATTTTTGAGAAAATCTTAATAGTAAGAATACTTAGAATCTTGTGGGAGAAACAAATTTAAGTAAGGACTGTAACAGGATCCATGATAAGGAAACCAGAATGATTGGATATTTTGGGGAAAAGAGGAAATCAATTAAAAGTATTTAATGGATTATGGGTTATAGAAATCAATTGTTAGTGATTGTTTTACAAATGTAAACCCAGACAACATATTGTTCACCAATTATTGATTTGTGTTTTTAAAAAATCAATAAATTATAAAAAAAAGAAAAGAAAAAAGGTCTGACTTGGTGGAAAGGATACTACCAGAATGGGAAATTGGAAAAAAAAATTCTGAAGGACGGCAATGAAGCTCACAATTATTTAGGTTCATATAGGTCAGGAAGCCATCACCAAACCAACCTGTTCGATCACCTAATGCAATGTGTAAAGGCAACTGACGTTTGTTCCTACCATTTATGGATTATTAGCAGAGATCATCTCATTACATAACCTAAACTGAGCTAGGTTTGATTTTGCTATTATTGAGAACTCAGCTTCCATCTTAGGTAGTCCTTCCTTTGCAGTCCTTTAACAGGACTCATTCTCGGATAAGTCCACCTTGGCCCTTTCTTTCATCTAAAAACCAAATACATTGTTCTTAACCTGCTTAATTCAATAGTATGTAACGTAGCGATAATAATCTTGGATAGATTTTTGACCCAATGAGGACAGGCGCAGTAAGGCTATTAATCATGAACGCTTCCAAGCTGGGGGAAGTACGGTCCAACTATCAAGTGCAGGGGATGCCCTCATTTCTTGCTTGTGAGTACCCCAGCAGTATCTAGTGGGCACTGCGAGAAAGAAAATCTTGGACCGAGATAGGCTTTGGTCAATCTAGCAGAGCTATTTATGCCCTGTTATCTAAAGCAGGGGTGAGAAGCCATCAAATACATGACTGGAGAAGAGCTGTATGTTTAACTTTTATTAACATTTCATGTAAATAAATTAAGTCAAACTGAGTGTCTGGCCTAGCTCCAGGAATTAACCAGTGGAACAATTTGCCTCCAGAAGCTGTGAATGCTCCAACAATGGAAGTTTTTAAGAAGAGACTGGACAGCCATGTGCCTGAAATGGTATAGGGTTTTCTTCCTGAGGAGGGGGTTGGACTAGATGACCTCCAAGATCCCTTCCAACTTTATTATTATTATAGCTGCATCCCAGTAGGCATTTCAAAAACTAAGCAAATCTGTTGAGACAGAAAAAAAAGTTAAGCTCCTGGATCTTTGCATTGCGAACGCAGCCAATGATGCTTATGGCCCAAGACTACAAGCATAGGTTGTATTTTTAGGAATGGCTAAAGGAAATCAAACATGGGCAGGCCAAGAAACCAGTAGTGTTTCTTGCAAGTGACCCCCCCACTTTTTTTGAATGTACTAAGACTGATATGAAAAAAGATGGAAAAGAAACTCTTAAGAATATGAATAGATGATATTTTCAGTCAATGTGTAAGAAAGTCTCTTTCTTCCTTGCACCCATCTAAAAATAACCCTGTTTGTTTATGCAAATAAAAGCATGGCTAAAAATATGGTCATTTTTTACAAAACAAGAATAACACTGTGTTAGGACTCCAAAGAGGTTCAAAAATAGAGTTCTCTACCAACAGCAGTTCTGGTGCAATATTTATGAGATCAAAAAAAGAAAGGGGGGGGGAAGCCAGCTACAAATTTGTTCTCCATCAGGATGGATGTAGACTCCACTGATTGGGTAATTTAATCCCACCTGCTCAGACTAAGACAAAAAAACTCTGCCACGCCTCCTTCTGGGTGTGACTTCCCAGTTTTTGTCTTAGTCTCGTGCTCAGCAAGACGCTTTTCAGAAGGCTCCTAGCTAAGTTTGATTCTTTCCTTTTTTCCTTTAGGCTATTCAAATTAAAATTGGATACTTTAAATTCAAATTGATTAGCAATTAGATTAATTCGGCTTTCACTTCCAAATTAAGAGGATTGCGTTGGGGGGGATAGGGACTCTGTCCTCCCTCCCCTGCAGCCCTGTGGGCTTTGAAAAGGAGGTTGCAGGTTTCGTTCGTTAGAGAGCTCCCGTTCCGGACGATCTGTAGCCTCTTTGCGATTCCGCCAATTCAACTGGGTAGCGGAGGTCGGCTTTTCAACTCGGAGACCTCCTGAGTGATTTACTTGCCTCGAGGCCTTGAGGGAGAATTCCTGACTGCAGCTTTATCTGGATTGCAGCAGGGGCTGCGCTACTAATCGCAAGTGTTTGGGGACTGGGGGAGGAATCCCAAATCAGCCTTGTATTCCCCTGCTGTGTAATTGATTCTCCTGTTTAAAACACGACAGGGTTTTGCTTCTCCAGGCCTTAAGGCCTGGTGGCCGCCATTTTGACCGCATGGTCTAGCGCGGCTGCTTCTAGAGGTCCCACGTGGCGGACGCCATTTTGGAGGCCTAATTGAAATTTTTGCATAATCATTGGCAGTTATTCCTGCATTATTGCGGACGCATAGTTGTTACCTGTGTCACTTGGTCTGTGAGCAGACCTGTTCAGGGGGGAAGATATTTCTGTATCCACAGGAGTTGTGGTCAAACTTGAGGGGTCTACTCCAGGTGTGGGCCTTGGCTGCATTTGAGCAGACCAAGGTGTTATTAACTGGTCCTAAGGCCTAGAAGAGAAGAGCGAGGAGATTCTTTTATTGTCCACCTGTTTCTCAGTTTAGCCTGTGACCTTTTGTCACAAGGCCTGTACAGACAGCATTAGAACACTGTCTGGCTGTTCTTGCCATTACCTTCTGTTCAGAGCGAGGATCGGTTTTCCATCTCTGACTGTGATCTGCGTGTTGGGTACCTCCCCCCATTTCTAGGTACTACTGTCCAGGAATACCTAGACGGTAATGGCAGACAGCTCCTCGCCCCAGGCTTCTCAATCTAGTTTCCCCCCCACTCAAGCAAAGCGCAGATCTGAAGAATTAGACATGGGGGGGGGGAAGAAAAAAGCTAAAACCAAACATCTGACTTCCAAATCAGCCGGGCGAGAGGCCACAAGGAGACACTTAGCATTGGGGAGAGAATTCTCCAAGGCACAAAGGCTCAGATCCAGTGGGACTGAAACGGTTTCCCCCGCCCCACTGGATACTCCTTTGACAGAACCTCAATTTGAATCATCTCAGGATGCCCCAAGACCTTGGTCTCCTCGGGGGGAAACCGAGCAGGTAGGTCCTCCTCGCTCCTCTCCTTCATCAGCACACCAACCACCTGAGACCAGGTGTGCCTCAACGGAGGTTGGGGTCAGTTCCAGGGACCAAGGGGAAATGTGGTCCCAGGCTCAATTCCAGGCCTTCATGCACCAAGCATTCAGGCAGTTTATGTCATCAACTGAGAGTAGCCAGGTGCAGTCCCATCCTACTCCTCCCGCATCTATTCCCCCACCTCTGGTGGAGCGTGATACTAGACCTAGCTCTGCTGTTTCGGAGACATCCTCACAATTAGGGGAGGAGGGATCAGTGGAACTGGGAGTTGCAGACACTCCCTTGTCTGAGGAGGAGGATCCAGCTCCTGAACAGGTGACCTCTTCCGGGCTTTTCGATCCGGCCATTTTTCGATCACTCCTCGCAAGGGCTATTGACACGGTAAAACTTACCTCAGCCCAGGAGGAGACTCCTTCTTCCTCATCCAACCGGGAAGCCAACCCTCTGTTTGCGGAAAAGGTCAAGGAGGAACCGCAGATTCCATGCCCACTAGTCTTCAGGTCTACGGTGGAAAAGCAGTGGGCATCCCTTGCTACCACTCCTTCACAGAGCAGTTTAGACAAGAAACTTTACAATGTCTCTTCTTCTTTCGCTTCTCTTCTAGAAGTCCCATCTGTAGACGCTCCGCTGACCTCTCTGTTCTCCAATACCGCCGTCCCGGGGGACATGGCTGAATTCTTGAAGGCAGAGGACAAAAAGTTCGAGTTCTCTTTTCGTAGAGCTCACCAATCTTCGGCTTGGGCCATAAGGGCGGCAACCTCATCCTCCTTCTTTGCACGCTCGGCAATTATGTGGTTGCAGGAACTCCAGACGCTCATTCCGCCGGATCAGGTCAGAGCGCACCAAACAATAGGGAAAATAGTGGCAGCATCCG